CTAGTGTTGTAAGTCCGCAGACATACCGCTGGGCCACTGGGGGGCGTGAAGAAATGAGGACTGAATAAAAGACGTATTGGTTCTGTATTATTTTTTGTCTTTAAGCGTAGAGCTACTCAATGGGCTATCGGCACTGTGTCCGCAACGGATATCGAAACCAATTTTTAGCGTTATAAGCCCTCAAGCTTACTTTTGAGTCACTGAGGGGCTAGATCCATATTGGATGGTAATTGTATATAATTCTTTTGCTACGTGACACTTACAATTATTTTACTCCAGGCACCTAAATGAAGATAAATTTCAACTTAAAAAATAAAACAAGAAAGGAACGACAACTAACATTAGAGTACATTTTGTGATTTGTAAAAAAAAATAAGAAATGTGGCTCATCAAAAAGAGAGAGCAGACTTATAAGTTAAGTTAATCGAAGAGTAGAACAAATATAATGTGTTTGATAAAAACTTCACCGATAGTTATAAAATATAGTTCTTTACATATATATATATATATATATGTTATCACTTTGGTACACACAACGTTTCAGGTTATGTACCAAAGTGATAACATAAGAAAATAAAATATTTTTCATAAGTATTTGTGAAGTTTCATCACACATGTATTTTGTTTAATTCTTTTTTTTTTCTATCACACGTGCTTTCCATTTTTTTGTTACCATTTCTGGTTATTGGGTGAATTATGACTTTGATTTTCTTCTATGATGCATTAATAAATATATATTAAGCTGAACTCTAAACTAAGTCGCAAATTTATATATTCCTAACTTCTGTAAACAGTTGTGTTGGTTAGATGTTTAGCCTTAAACGTTATTTAACTTCTTTATTTCTTGAATCAAGTACGTATTTTTTATTCGTTTGATTTATATCATGCCATTTCTTCATATAGTTTATTCTCGAACTTGCTACTTTTCCCTTTTCTTCATATAGTTTATTCTCGAACTTTCTGCTTTTCCCTTTATTCATATAGTTTGTTCTCGAACTTGCTACTTTTCCCTTTTCTTCATATAGTTTATTCTAGAACTTTCTGCTTTTCCCTTTATTCATACAGTTTGTTCTCGAACTTGCTACTTTTCCCTTTTCTTCATATAGTTTATTCTCGAACTTTCTGCTTTTCCCTTTATTCATATAGTATGTTCTCGAACTTGCTACTTTTCCCCTTTCTTCATATAGTTTATTCTCGAACTTTCTGCTTTTCCCTTTATTCATATAGTTTGTTCTCGAACTTGCTACTTTTCCCTTTTCTTCATATAGTTTATTCTAGAACTTGCTACTTTTCCCTCTTCTTCAGTGCCTCTTGGAGTTACTTGAATACAAATACAAACCATCAGCAGGTGGAAAAGTTCAGAATTTAACTTTTTTGCTTTCTTTTATTCATTCCAAAATATAATCAATCAAACCCAACACTTTTTTTCAGGTTTCCTTGTGTTCATATCAACTTAAACTGAAATGTAAGAACTTTGGTTCAATTTATTAAACTGAATTAACGAAAGAGAAGGAAAATTCATCATTTACATTTAAATTGTTGAAGAGATATAGATGAAAGTGTTAATTTCATGGAATTTGTCTGTTTCTAGAACTTGTCGCCTCCCTTCTTTCAAACCTCCTCATGTCCCATACGTAACATTCCATTTTTTAATTCTACCACCTATCGGAGAGCGATTCAATAATTGAAACTATTTTCAGAATGTCACTTTTTCCTTCTTCTACCAAGAATGGCGTGATCCGGTGCACGAAATTGGCTTCATGATGAAGAATCTATCGTGAACTGCTGATTACAACACGGGGGGGTCAAAAATTCGATAATTGCATCGTGATATTGCAAACACTCTGCCCTCAGATCTAACTCACGAAGTTGTTCCTTCACTTGAGAGCTTAGATAGTGAGAAGCACATTTATCCAAGTATGGAGAGAAAACGTCTGTTCATCTTCACAAAGTTTTACTGAGTATCTATCAGTGTTACTCTGTCTTATAGATAAACTGATAGCACACAGATAAATAGATTGAGTTATAGAAACACAAATAGAAACAAACAGTCAGAGAAGTGGATAGAAGACAGAGAGAGAAGATCATAAATAAATAGAGAAAAACAAAATGAAAGAATGATACTTTCTAGCGTTGATGGTTTTTTAAACAAAAAGTTTGTTGCTTTTGCCTGAAACCAGAAAAATATTTCCTGCTAGATAGATTTATCACCACTTACTATTGATATTTCCATCAAGTCAATGGATTGGTCACAGCTTGTTTAAACGGTTTACCGCCTGAGCTAAAGGACTGAAAACCAAGAAATAAAATCGTTCTTTTGGTAAACTTCTCTTTGGATACACGTAATGACTGTACAAACCTACTTTTCAGTTTGTTATACTCAGCTCGGTAATGGCAGGCTATTGAAAAACGTTTTCTTTTAATAATTCGACGGAATAAGCAACAGCTATCGTATTTCTTTGTACTAATAATAATGTAAGAGTAATAATAATAGAGGACTCTTTTTTTCTATTTTGTACACAATAAAATAGGATTAAAGTTAATAAAAATGTCATATTAACAAAATTTTTGATCAGTGTAATACAGTTACTTAATAGCTAGCTTCATCATTTTTCTGACCAATAAGTATTAATTACCTTACATAGCACTTTCAATATTTTCTCACGTGATTTTTAATTACTCTCCTTTTATATATCTATTAATATTGGGGATTTTATGCATGAGTCTGTAGTAATACGTGTTCATGTCTATTATTAATGAAACTTGCTAATTAGTGGAAGACGGACTTTCCTGTGCATTATTAAATTTCCAAATCCAAAATACGTGTACGCAAATGAAAACTCTGTTCGTTAGCTAAATTAATGTGAACAGTTATTTCTTTTTAATTTCAAATAAATAATTTTGTGTGGCTAGTAATTGAAAGATTAATTTAGAATGAGGTTTTCTTATGTTCTGGTACGGTAAATATATTTCCTGGTAATGTAATTTATTCAATGAGTTGATCCAAAGTATATCAAGATGAAATTAAGCTGGGATTTGTAATATTTAAATAGTAATGATTTGTTTTTCGTTATTTTTTTAAATTTTGCACTAACAGCCACCTGCACATAGCCGTCCCAAATTATGAACTAGCAGATTAAAGGGAAGTCAACTAGTCAACAGCAACCACAGCCATCTTTTGGATTACTCTTTTATGACCATTGATAATATTGTGCACTTACGCCCCAAAGCTGCAGAGCGTATGTATACTGAAACGGGACTCGAGCCGTGAACCTCGGGAATGCTAATTACTGGCTACGAACTGTCCAATAGTTACAAAAACGAAGCTCTTGTTATAATTTAATACGACATTCATACTCTGATTATCAGTCAGGCAATTATTATCAACTGTTGTTTTTGAATTAACCTGCTCATTGTACAGAAAATCTGGCGAACCAGCAAACTAGTTTATGTTATTCTGAACCAAATCAATACCTCCTATAGTTAGCTATAATTTCATTAATACTTGGCTTTCATATCAGCTAAGACAGTGCTTTTGTTACTGATAATACTAGAAACTCTTCGTCAGAGTGTTCTGACAAACTTTACAAAAGACTACAACAGGAGAGGAATGATCTGCCATATGTCAGGTACAGATTGTAAATCTCTACCGAAATCCATATATGTGACACATCAGAATTCATGACCGCTACTAGAATTTCAAATGCGGAATCTTTGTTTTCTGATTGTTTATGGTACTTGCATTTACCTGGCCCATTAAGTTCTTTAATTATTACATATGTTTAAAGTAACTTTTTAACGTTTTCTTGACAACGCTACGGAATACAGATATTAACTTTACACCAATCACCAGGATATCGAGAATCTCCATCATACGTGTTTCTCCACAGTAAATACAATTCTCTTGGAAAATAAACGGTGGCAGTTGAGATCGTCGCGATCTTTTTGAGTGTGGAGGTTCACTTGAAGATCTTGCAGGAGCCCGGACTTGTCATTATAAATAGCGATTAATGTGTAAATTTGATTTATATGAGGAGACCCAATGCCTATGGCATTTAACAGTCAAATGCCTATCTTAGTCCATCCATTCATTAATCACAACATGTAAGTCTTCAGATTTAAATTTACTTGAAAGAATAATACTAAGTATATTATTTGCACCATCAGAAGTCCGTTGATTATTTGAAAGTCCACACTTGAAGAAACAGTCAACCATCATTCTGACCCAATGTTGCAGCAACCAACGATTCTTTTAAAAGGAAATCACGTCACCTTTGATGGCCTGAAAAGAAAATATATAGTATTTTAGTAAATTAATACTTTGTAGATATATTTCATTTCAATCACAATATTACAGCTTATACACTGGTAAACGCTATCTTCTAGGATTCTGGCTTAAATAATAGATGTAACACTCACGCAAAGTGAAAAAATGAATTCTATGACCTCTAAAACCTAGTCATAGACCACAATCGTTAAGACAACTGATATAGGAGGCAATTACCATTTATGCATTGACCGCAGCCGTCTTGGCGGCTATGTTGGATTTGTTTTTAAAAGAAGTGCCTCCATAAATTAGACGACGTGAAAAATGGATTTGCTGATCCAACAAACCTAGTCATAGACACCAAAAACATTGTTATAACTGATACAAAAGCCAAGAAATGACAACTATGTGTCGCGGCAGCAATCTTGGATAATTCAATTTTCTGAATAATATAAAAAAATAACAGAAAAACATCGGGTAGATGATAATTTTGGATTAAAATAAAATCAGGGTGAGGCAACCACACTAATACAGTATGTTCAACAATTTTCTTGCTAATGATAGTTTCTCCTATTATTTAAGGTGAGAAAAAGTGCATTAAAAGGCATAGATTTTAATTGTTTGTTTTTGACATTATGCAAACTAATAAAGATGCAACTAGAAATAGCCATGAAATCCTACGATATAAATAGTGAATATTTTCACCACGGAGTGTTGTCCTTTTTTTTTTCAGAATTAACACTTCTAGATCAGATAAAGGAGAACAGCTGTAAAATCTGAATAACGGAACTTCTGTCGATGTTATCTTCGAGATTGTTTAAACAACTTCAAAAGACTCCAAGTCAAGACCATGGGAACAAGAAGAAAGAAGGTACGTGGATTAATAAAGTGTGAAATAGGAAACAAATGTATCAAAGACAGTCTTGAATGACAACTTTATGAAAATAAACTTATTCGAACTTTAACGAAAATTCAACATCTAGTATTATAGTGTTTAATTTACGATGTCAAGTAAAAGAATGTGGATAACAATTACAACTTTCCAAAATGTTAGCGTAGAGTGAAACAAAGTACACTGGTATAACGAGCTATTTACATAAACGAGTATTTCAGTTGGACTAACTCCGATATTAAAATAGACTCTCAAGTTTTAAACGGTTACACATTTTAAGAAAATTCATCAGAAAATTTTTATCGCTCATATCAGAATAAACGAGCTATAAACGCTTAAGATCTCACTTTACTTTCAATGTTGCATAGTTTTACGTCACTTTATTGAGTAACGATTCTTTTCTTCCTTTTCATGTTTCGTATACATGTTATTTTTAATTTTGTACTGCTCATATTTGTAGTATCTAATACAAATAAACGGTGCCCGGCATGGCCAGGTGGATAAGGCGCTCGACTCACAATCTAAGGGTCGCGGGTTCGAATCCGCATCCTACCAAACATGCTCGCCCTGTCGGCCGTGGAAGCATTCTAATGTGACGGTCAATCCCACTATTCGTTGGTAAAAGAGTCGATCGAAATTACTAAAAAGAAGGAAACTAAATCCTATGCATAGAAAATCAATCTTTTCTTTTATATTCATTTATTTATATCCAAGAACATTTATGAAACAAAATCTGTTTTAAATAATAAATAGAAAAGAAAAAAATCACAGATATCTTCCATTTATGTCAGACGTTTATTTGTTTTTTGCGCAAAGCTACACTAGGGCTATCTGCGCAAGCCGTCCCTAATATAGCAGTGTAAGACTAGAGTGAAGGCAGCTAGTCATCACCACAAAGCTACACGAGGGCTATCTGTGCAAGCCGTCCCTAATATAGCAGTGTAAGACTAGAGGGAAGGCAGCTAGTCATCACCACCCACCGCCAACTCTTGGGCTAACTTTTTCATTTTTCTTTATTATAATTTTTTAAAGATTGGTATATGCTGTTCTTCTAGAAATTGGTAAAATAACTTTTAATATTTTCTAGCTGATTAGGAATGTTAATGAATGTATTTTACGTAAACAGTATACTTCGTAAAAAGAAATTCAACTGTATTGTTTTCAAATATCTACGTGTCTCTCTTTTCTTTCTGTGTATATATCTGATTATCTTTGAATGGAACATTATCATGGTAAAGATGTTAGGCAATAGATAACGAATTTTTCTGAAGTAAATGGTCACTTATTTCCACAAAACATCAAGGTATTTATTATTCCAAACTTTGTGTCAAATTCCACCGTTCTTTGTTATAAGTCTTTAGGCATCTTACGTTAATTTTATTTAATAGTACTATATTATGTTTTAGTTCCTGCGTTCATTATCTTTTTTGTCTCTTTCCTACCAGATCATGTCACAGCCAGTCCTATTTCTAACCGAACTTCTAAGCCTTCTCTCATCGCATTGTATTTTTGTCGCTGCTGTTTCTGCAGGTAAAACACACAGCTGATTTCTTCCCTATGTGATTATTATGTTTCTTCTTGTTGAATAATATTGAATATATTGACTCTAATAATTGTCTGTTACACAGACATGATAGAGAACTTTCAATCCTCTTCTGTGTTTTAAATGACCGCCAAACTTATTGAGATGTTAAGGCATTTGTCGGCGTAGAACGAATTTATGCCAGTTACTTCTGTACAAAAAAACAGTTCATACCAGTGTTTAGTAATACATCAAACACTTATTCTTTGACGCCAAGATGATATAACTGGAAAGCCATTTATAGGATGTAGAAAGTCAACACTGGTAATACTCTAAGATCTGTGTAAAATACTGGGTAGAAACTAATGAAAATATATCACTGGTTGCTCTCTATTTTCAATATTGTTGCACGTTCACATTACTTTTACAGTATTACAGCAGACACATTACAGGAAGCTCCCACTGATCGTCTTCTCAAATGTTTATTATATATATATATATATTTTCTTTAGTTACGATTTGTCTTCCCTAACGAAAATGTATTATGTGTTTTCTTAATGACTGTTGCTTATGGGGGAATTTTCACAACAACAGTTATTTATCACGGTCTTCCGTAAATCAATTTTATGTAGGCTCTTTCTAACAACAATATATTATAGCATTATTCTTAATGAATGTTGTTTTTTGAAAGTTTTATTTTATTGCATGCTCGGCTTCTTTATTTACTGTTTTAGTTAACAACCTTCCCATTCTTTAACTACCGTAGTTTGTGACAGTCTTCCCTAATGAATATTGTTTTATAAATCTTCCAAATCAATTTGTTTTAATTACAGCCTTTATTAACAATTATTGTATATCTACTTTCATTAAAGGTGGATGTTTGCAGTGGTGTTTCCAAGATTACTAACAGGGGAAGGCTAAATCAGATGGTGAAATCTGCTTTGCATCAGAGCATGTTAACACTAATGATTCGTAAATAAGTAGAGATTTCAGGTGGATACTGAAAGAAATATTCACTTTTCAACGAAATATTGAATTTAAAATGACATTTTGATGGAATTTTATTAAAGCAAAGTTAAAACTTGAAAACAATATTTGAGAACATACTATATACTATTGTAAAAAAAGGAGAGAGGATAGGGATCTCCGGGCAACCAGGAACCTTTTTCTGGATGCGTTAATACGCTACGGAATTGTAACAATCTTTCCTAACGACATTTTTTATAACAGCTTTTACTAACCGACGTTATTTATGGCATCATTCACTAACAATGATTGTTTGTGACAATCTTTCCGAACGACATTTTTATGTTAGTCTTCCCCCAGCGATCTGAGTCTTGTCAAGTAGCTAAGGTGATAAGTGTGAGCGACTCACGTTGCTTTGTGTTTCACACTTGACAGGCTGCTTAGTGAACCAAAGGGGAATGTGATTTTTTGATTTTGTTTTTTTACAAATGTAGAACTATTAGCGTTAGGCTTAGCTTTTAGCCTAGTTACTTTAACTTATCTGTGTCAGGCTGCGTTAATATTTATTATGTTATTGACTACCTTCCATTATAGTTAATCTTGAAAATTTTAACACTAACCATAAACGAAATGTGCTCACCGATATTCCTATCAATTCACTGTGATCCCGAAGTTGGCGTGGTCACACTAATGGACTCACTGTGAGTGGAAGTGGGTGGAACACTAATCGGCTCATGCCACTTACGAGAACGCGTCTGAATTAGTACAGACAACCTTTCAAAAGTGCTTAAATTGAGAGTGTTAAATGTTTTTTCTTTATAAATATTAGAAATCATTATTATTAGCAATAATAATAAAGCGTTCTTGTTTATAGAGTGAGTACTAATTTCTCTCATTTCACTATCCAAATATTAGCCTAGAAAATACATAATCTATAAATAAGTACTTATATATGTAAAATTGTTTGTTAATTAAAATGTATAACAGACGATCATTGCAATAGAGTACGACGTTTTGAGATATGACTAACCAATCCAAGCTTTTACACTAGGATCAATTTAAAAAGCTGCTGTTTGATTGAGTTTATTCAAAATACCTAACCAAATGGAGCAAAGTGAAAATTTTCTAACCAGCCTTAGACTTATGGCTCAGAGGTTTTTTTATAAACAAACTTGACAAATAACATTGTAAAATAGTTAAACTAATAATTGTAGAACTAACTATTTCAAATTCAATTTGTTAAAAACACATTTTCAGAAGTTTGTAATATCAGTCTCTCTTTCTGTGCCCCACAGTGCCCCAGCGGTAAGTCTGTGGATTTATACGCTTAAAACCGGGTTTCGATATCCGTGGTGGGCACCGAACATCCCATTATGTAGCTTTATGCTTAACTAAAACTGTATCAAGATATTGTTTTTCACAGTCGAGTACATGATTGGTAGCTTACTAAAGCAGGTGATATCCTTCTGTTCTAAATGAAGTTTGAAAAGTTGGTTACCCAAACATTTTGTGGCTATTTTTTAAAGAAAGTTGGTTGGCGTTTATTTTAGATTATCTGCGCCTTAAAGAAAGTAAAATTGTTTTTTCTATTCTTACAGTTTAGCTAATGTACGTGTTTTCATTCCCCCCAAAAAAAGATTTTAGATTTAGTAAAATCATAGCTGTCATTCTTGTTAACTTGTGATCCTTATGAAAAAAATCAAGTACGATAACAAAATGGTTTGTTACGTATTGAGAATTTAAAATAGTCCAAAGCCGATATTTTAGTTAATTTACGCTATTTACCAACAAGATTGACACACACCGTTTTCGTTTTTCACACAAATACGTTTTAATGTATATATATATACAACAGTACAATTTATAACAACAATTATTACGAATAATTATAAACAACAATTTCACTAACTTACAAACAACATAGAATCTTCTTTCTAGTTCAGAGTTTCCTTGATATCCAGCGAGTTAACTTGAAGTTGATGTACGTACAATTGCTAAGAAGCTAGCTAACTTTGTCAGACACTGAATTGTTGGACCGTCGAAGTAAGATAATATTTTCATATAACCATTAATGTCCGATGAGAATCCACTGACGTTCGAAATTTATAATTGTTCGTGGTCAAATGTCGTAAATTTTCTGGTTTATAAGGGTTAGCAAAATCACGGTTTATAGCATACATGGTTATAACAGGTTCTGTCTTTTTCTTTCTCTCTTTCTTTCTTCCTCTCTTTTTCTTTCTTTCTTTGTCTCTTCCATTATTCTCTCTCTCTTTCTTTCTTTGTCTCTTCCATTACTCTCTCTCTTTCTTTCTTTGTCTCTTCCATTACTCTCTCTCTTTCTTTCTTTCTGTTTTTCTTTTCTTTCGCTGGTTAGTCTTTCCGACCAACTGACAGGTATGACAAACTTTTCAAAATTGATAAATGTCTTGCATAGTTTTGGCCAAAAAAAATATCTAATAATTTTTTAACCTGTTTCGTTGACATCTATATGATCTCCCATGGGAATGTCATGGGTAACTATCAGTATTTCTGCACGATATGCTTTGGGAACAACGACTTGATAAACAAAGCCCAGTCCTCTGAAGCTGGTACATCTGGTGGTCTCAATTTCCTCATAAGCACACCATTTTTGAAAAAATAACCATTTGGAACTTTCTCCAGTCCATCTATCGAGAGTTCATATTTAAATAGTGAAACGATTTGCAAATCCTTTTCTTGTCCAGTGATCAGTTTACTTTTAGTTAATGGAAATTCACTTGGTGAATCAGATCCTTCACGTTCATCGTCGTTCTTCACTGAGGAGTCGTCACTAGGACAATTATCCATAAGATCCCTATTGGATCCAAAAAATGTCTAAGACAAATCTATAATAGCCTCCTCTGAATCCATGCTTATAATTTGTTTTAGCTTAATTTCTTAGCCTGAGCTCGAGTCACAGAACATGAAAGAAACACATCGGGATTCTCCTTAACTATAACATCATCCTTAGATGAAACAGTGATCGGCTCGTTAACCATTTTAGGTTCGGCAACAACTTTTCTCCAGCCAAATCGTTTCCCAATAACAATGATACACCCTTAATTGGCAGAGTAGGTCT